CAATCCCCGGTACCAAAAAAAAAAAATCCATCATGTATTTTGATCTCACCTTGTACTGTAGCCTAGAGATACAGCTACAAAGAGGGCTCCTAATTGCCCTTTTGTAGATACCATAACTGAGGCTTGGACCTGGCCAATACAGACTGCAAAAGCCACCTCCTGACCTATGTCCTTTGCATTGAACATACACACACACAAGCCACTTTCTTGTCACAAGGAGGGACAGTTTAGGACAATGAAGTCCTGAATGCTATGAAAATAATGAAGGCTGCTTTTGGACACACCCTGTCCTCCAGATTAATGTGTCTTCATGCTCCGTGCACATGGTATGATCTGACCGTCAGGATCCCCGCACCACTGGGTTCAGCCCTGTGTGAGCAGAGCCCGTAGGCTCATGGAGACAGAGCTGAGCTCCCTGTCACTTGCCAGAATTAGGCTCAAATCCCCAGGGATCTGGAGACTGGGTGCTAGAACTGTGTCCTCCAAGACATCCCTGCTGGCTCACGGAGAGCCAGGCACTCAGTCCAAACTGAGTGAGCAGGCCAAGTGACTCAAGCCTGTGGTATGCATGGCAAGGAAGATTGATGTGTGGGAGGCCAGAGGAGATTTATGGACCTCCTTACTCCTATGATTTACTGAAAGCCAGCTTTTATTACCTCAGAGCCCGCCGCCGACATGAGTTGGGTGCACTGCGGATAAACACTGGGGTTCCAGCTCTGTGGCTGCTGCCACGAGCAAGGCAGAGGGAAATGGGGAAGAGACAGAGAGCTGGTTTTGCAGATGAGATGCTTGTTGAAAATGCAGAGCTGTGAGCTCCAGGAACAGCTGGCGGTGATGAGCTTTAAAAAGTCACCATTTGCAGGCACAGACAGCTGGAGGCTCTGCCAAGCTCACTTGTGAGCAAGCGAGGCTGATTTATGGACAGGCCGATAACGGTGAAGAAATAAAGATTGATTTGCACTGGAGCGGGAGGGAGAGCTCGGATGGCAGCACTGGAAGGCACAGGAGCAGGGCTGGGCAGGAGTGAGCCACGGTGTCTGGGCTTTTGCCAACTAGCTGGGGTGCTGTGATGCCCACACCACCACATGCACCGGCAGGGCTGTCAGCCGGTCCTCAACCCAGCGCTCCTCCTTAGCTCTGTGTGTTGAGTTCCTCTGAGAACTCATGCCCAGCACTGCAAAGACAGAGACAGCGTCACACAATGTGTCTCTACAGCTGGGAAGAGGCACAACCTGTCCGGAAAAGGAAGACCCACACAGCTGACAGCCCCAGGGTACGCTCCTCCTCAGGAGCACCCCAAGTCCTCAACCCCTCCTCGGGCACAGTGCAGGATGCACGTGCAGCATTGGGGTCTGGCTGAGGCAACACGTCTGGGGTGTTCAACTGAAATTCCTTTTGAGGGCCTTTCCTGCTGCCCCTTCCTTCCTCACCACGCGCAGAGCTCCCGAAACAATTAACAGATTGCTGCTTCCTAAGGAGTGCTGTTGTTTCTGCCCCCCCCACAGCTCATTTAGAGCTAAGACTAACTCAGTAGCACTCTGAACATTGCTGGTGTTGTGGTTTATATCTAGATTTCCCCCAAAGCGTCATGTACTCACGGGTGGGGCTTGGGGAGGTGATTAAGTCACATGGATATGAAGCTCATTGGTGGATTAATCTGCTGATGAGTCTCTAGCAAATATGATGTTGGGAGGTGAAGCCTGGCTGAAGGGTCTCCCTCCCTCCTCCTCCCTTGATCTCTCTCTCTCTCTCCTTCCTGTTCACCATTCCATGAGCTCTTTCTCCTCCACCAGGCCCCTCTGCTACACCGGTCTGCCCTGGAGATGGCGGACTATGAACTGAAACCTCTGTAAACTGTGAAGTGTATAAACCTTTCCTCCTTTGATTTGTGAGTGTCAGGTATTGTGCTCCAGCAGTAAAGAAAGTGACTAAGACCATCGGTGATGAAGAGATACTATTGAATGTCTCTTCTGTCCATTCATTGGCTGAAAATTTTTCACTGAATGGCTACATATGCTGGGTGCTAAAATAAAAATATGTTTGACAGCCCTGTGTGCACTGTAAAGAAATAAACAAGGAAGGTGAAGAGAGAGGTGAGTGGGCATTTTAATTTGAGGAAGACTGTAGCAGAGACTGTATAACAAAAGACAGATATTCAAGGAAGGACTTCCAGGCAGTGGGAAGACAAAACCAACTCTCAAGAGGGAGAAAGCTCTGTGTGTATGAGGAGTGGAAGGCACAGAGTCTGTCTAGACTCAAGTTCTTCCCCTCAGTCATTCACTGTCTCATTTACTCATTGACCCGTTCAATCTTCTGGTCACAATACAGGGTCCCCTGTTAGATGCCCACACTCAGACACACGCAGAGTCAACCCTGCTCTCCAGTAGCTGGCAGTGTTGACACCTGGCTCATGGGGTCAGAGATCAAAAGATGCCAGGGGCAGAAGGGAAAAGCTGCAGCAACTTATCTCCCCTCTGGGAGGGGACTGAGATGGTGCACTCGGTCTGGTTGAGCAGAGAGACAAACTGGGCTGGCCAGAGCCCAGTTTTGTAGGGTGGAGATTCTCAAGGTGACCCCTACCGCCCCTGGAGCACCATCTGTGAGGCACATCAAGGGGTCCTGGCGAGCAAATCTTCTCGTAACACATTCACATATCCCTGCCTTTCTACAGTACTGACCTGCGCTGGTGGTTTCCAAGACACGGTGGCAGAAGCCCTCGTTACTACATGCCCAATGTTCACCCCAGACCCACCCAGCTGGGATAGCGCATTGAAGAAGGCACTGGGGACCAAGTCAGGAAAACTATTCACTGTAGTAAATTTCAACGTTGATGGCGGGTGGGATCTTCCTAAATCCTCTCCCAAACGCAAGGGGGAAGTGCGTATATCTAACTGTTTCCTCTCGGAAGTTGCTCCAGGATTTCGCTGCCCCCCCGATGCACCGCTCTTTCTGTGGAATTCCACCTTTCCCTGAAGACAGTATTCGTGCAGCCAAAGCAAGCACACCTTTACTCGAAGATAAAACCAACAGCCACCTTTGCCCACTCCAGCTTCGGTGAATATACTGGGTGCTCCTGAAAGTGAACAGCATCTGGCAGCAAACCACTGGGCAAGTTCACTGCCAAGTACAGTAGTCAGGCTCTCAAAAGAAAATTAGGATTTGGAGAGTTCGAACCTGCCAGTAGGACCTAGGCAGCTTCCCAACTCTTAGGGATTCTTCTGATTGACTGGTGGTGGTATTAGTAAGTGTGTTTTTATAGCATATAATTGAAATGGGCTAGCATTTGCAGAGTGGTGCAACTCCAATGAGCTGGGATATCTAAAATTTTAAATGTACAGTGTCAGAAAGGCACCCATAGGGAAGAGTCCGATGGCCTTGACATAGTAAAAGAACAACTCATGAATTTTAATGTGTAATACTGTAAGCATTTGTGCTGAATAAAAATTTCCACAAATAGCGAAAGATCGTTAAAGTAAGCTTCCCTTTTTGCAAAGACCTACATCCACAAGGCCACATTTTAAATACATATCAAGCCATTGCAGCAGACTGAAAGATGAAGCAAGCATGAGCATTCTGATCTCTTCTGAGAAAGGCACTGAGGAGAGTTATAGAATAAAAGCAATGCCATTCTTGTGGCTTCTTTTTTTAAAATTAACTTTATTGGTACATTTAAGTTATACAGTGTAATGACATTCATCATTGGAAATTTGCACCTTTACATAATCCATCTTGCTTCTTATTTTTCCCCATTCTCCTGCCCTCCCTTCAACCCTGCCACCCCTCCCTATCTACAAAGGCTCTTTTTCCATTTCTTCTGTTTCCATTTCTTCTTTTCCTCATATTAACTGTTCCCTTCTTTCTTTTCCCTCACCCCTCCCACTTCCCCTTTGCACCTTTTCTTCCTGTTTCGCATTATCTCTTATACCTTTTAATCCTTATTTACACTTTTAGTTCCTCAACTAGAGAAGCTATTCAGTATTTATACATGTGTGTTCTATTTATTTCACTTAAGAGTATCTGCTCAATGTGCATCCATTTAGCTATAAATGTCTCTAGGATGAGAAAAATTAGTTTTAATATAGTCATGTATCAGCATTTAACTGTATTTTAAATCTCTAGATACTTTATTTTTTGGATTCTATTGTGAAAGGAATTGTTTCCCTCTCTCAGTGAGTCTATTATTTGTGTACAAGAAGGCTATTGATCTTTGAGTGTTCACCTTGTATCCAGCTAATCTGCTGAAAGTGTCAATTAAGTCTAGAAGTCTTTTTGGCAGAGTTTTTTGGGCCTTCTATGTAGAGTATCGTATCATCAGCAAATAATGTCAGTTTAACTTCTTCCTTTCCTATCCTTATTGCTTCAATTTCTTTCTCTGGTCTAATTGCTATGACTAATGTTTCCAGACCTATATTGAAAAGGAGTGGTGATAGTGGGCATTCTTGTCTTGTTCCTGATTTTAATGTGAAGATTTTCACAGTTAGCTAAAACTTGGAAACAGCCCAATTGCCCATTCGGTGGAGACTGGATAAAGAAGATCTGGCTTTTCTATAAAATGGAGTACTACTCAGCCATAAAAAAGAGAAACTAGAGTCATTCATAGGAAAATGGATGCATAGTGAGGGCCATACTCTTACATGAAATAAATAAGATGCATATATGTAAATACCAAATAGTGTCTCTAGCGTGAAAGTCTAAAAGTGTAAATAAGATCCAAGTTGTATAACTGACAATGTGAAATAGGAAGAAACAGGCTAAAGGTGTAAGGGAAGTGAGAAGGGTAGGGGAAAGGAAATAAGGGAAAAATATGAGAACAGGAAAAATTGGAAACAAAGTCTTTGTAAATAGGGAAGGGTGGAGGTGGTGAAGGGAGGGAAGGGGTATGGGGAAAAAATGAGAACCAAGATCTGTCATGTAAAGGTACGAGATCCCAATGATGAATGTAACTGTACTGTAATCTTAAAAAGAGCCAGTAAACTCAATGAGAAAAAATATTTTTAAATCTCTCAGTTGTAATTATTTATATAGTAAATATTGATATATCCAATCCACATAAACAAAATATTAGTGATTCCAGAGGCCAAAACATTTGAGAACCCACTGCTGTGGTTCAGTATAGTGATGAGAAAAATATGGAAATATGAAAGATTAAGTTTTCATTCTATTTGGATCCTTAATGATGAAAGTTTTGCCCAGTGATATCAACATAGGTTTAAAACTATTTTATAAAGATTGTTTCAAACTTCTCATGAATTATCTCTAACATGGACACTAGGTGTGAGTGTGCAGCTCACTCCTTATTTTGCGGGGAGGCCTGTCTATCATTTGGCTGTAGAAGCTATGGGTAGTGGTGTCCATGAAACTCTCAAGGCAGCGCTCTGAGCTACATACACATATCTCCATTTCTTAGATGAGGAGTTAAAGTAAAAGGAGTTGAGGAATTTCCCAAGGAAAATCCATTTGTCATTAATAGGCAAACAGGGGCAGAGAGCTCCAGAACAGGACTCGCACAATAGCGCAGCCAGCAACCTGCAACTGAGAGTGATCGTGGGAACAGCACACCCTTCACCTGGTTTCCTTGGTCACAGAGTACAATCTTTGCAGGCGCTGGAATTTGGTGTTGCAGGTGAAGCAGCCCATTTGCTGATTCCAATGCATGGTTTGCTTTGAAACCTGGACCTTCTCTGATCTGGAAGTGGATGTCCGAAGGCCACAGCTCACACAGTGAAGGAGAGGCATTGGGCTCTTTCCCATAAAAACAGTAAACCCATATGCTTGCTACACATGGCCAATTAGATACTTCGCTATAAACGAACATAATTCTCCTCTCTATGTAACATCAGAATTTCCCTTTTCATCTCATTGTGCTACTTCTGACTAATGAGCAACCCAAGTATTTAACAATCCACATCGTGGCCTCTGCAGAAGGCAGGAGATGGACCTGCCAGGTCCTTCAGATCCAGCTCCGGCCTCCTAGAATTACTCTGGCATTTGAATTGTGGACCAATTACCCATAGTCTCTCTGCCCTTCTGGTCCAGGCACCTCCCATATGGCTTTAATTTGGAGGCACGCAATTTATTAAAACAGCTTGTTATGTAAAAAAAACTATTTGATGTCAGAGAAGCCATATGACCCTTTTTATGTGTGCCTTTCCTGGAATAAGAAATCAATTTGCCCATTTTAAACAAAGCTGGGGCATAAAGAGACTTGAAGCAGTGCTACATTCAGAAAGCAACAGGAAGAGGGGTAGTAGACGAATACTTCCTTCCACTGGCAATCTCACGGGGACCTAGGAGCGGAGGGACCCATCTCCTAAGTGTCTGCCCCATAGTGTACCTTGCTGCTCTATTACCCCCAGAGTCCCCTGGGGACCTGGCTGTGCCCACAGCTAGCTGAGCTCATTGACCCTGGGTGCAGAGCTGTGGGGCAACTGGAGCACAACTGGTGATGCCCATGCCAGTCTTTAGAGAGTGATTTAGGAAACCATACTTTTTAATCTTTCAGCATTCTCTTCTACGAATGAGTTTCACCTAACGTTCCAAGCATTCCTGGCCTCCTGTCTCACCTCTTTAAGTGTGTGACATGTACAGGGTTCTTTGGTCTGAGACTCCCCATTGCTAAAACTTTCTACCAGATAGAAACCTACCCATCTGCAAAACAGAGCTCCCCACCAGCTTCTGTCTGACCTTCTGACTTGGTGCCTCGGGTGTGTGTTTTCCAGTGAGTCTTTTGCAGGAAGTCTTGTGAGTTTCTCCTCCCCAAACCAGGTGGCGGGGCCATGTCCCTGTGCTGCGACAATTGCTAGCAAAGATGGAGAAAGACGACCTGGAGTTCATCACCCCTCTCCTCAGGGCAACGGCCCACACCCAGGGTTAAGCCCATGCATGCTCAACCAGCCACCAGGATGGGTTCTAATGCTGCAGGCAAGTCCAACAAGACCAAGCAGGCCACCAGATGTCACTGATGTCTCCTTCACAAAAGGGCAGTCTGTGGTGGCCCAGAGGTGAAAGAACTGCTGTCATTCAATGGGAGTGGAACCTCCAGGGGCTGCAGGGTTGCAGGGTCTGAGGCATGAGCCCAGCAGTCTCATGGGGAGACAGTAGTTGCAATTTTCCTCCCTCTTCATCCGGTTCCTCTTCCTGGAGATGAGACAGGTGGGTGTAGTGGTGCACGCCTGTGATCCCAGAACTCTAGGAGGCTGAGGATCGCAACTCTGAGCCCAGCCCAGGCAATGTAGTGTCTTAGTGATACCCTATTGCAAAATACAAAATGTTAAGAGGCTGGGGTTTCTGTTCAGCATGAAGACCTGTTTCTATTACCACTTTCACAAATAAATAATAATAATAATAATAATAATAATAATAATAATAATAAATAAATGAACAGATCTACTATGCCCTGGGCTCTGGGAGTACCTTCTCTATGTCACAGATTAATCTTTCCAAAGCTTGTGCTTCGTTGCTCCTTTTAACTCCTCCATTCCTGTTATGTTCTAAATGTTTGTGTCCCTCTCCTGGTTTCATACGTTGGAAATCTTACACACTCAAATTAACTCATTAGAAGGGAATTTGCTCAGGAAATGGAGACCCAGGGTGGCAAGTGCTCCCCCATTCACAGAGCCAGGACAGTGCACACTTTCTCTCTCTCCATGCTCAGCTACATGGACACCCAGCAGGGAAGACCTCCGCTGCAGATTCAGAAGGGGGTCAGCCTGCATCAGAGACCTGGCTCCGCTGCTCTCCCGCGGAAGACTTGGGGCCTCCAGTCTGTGAGACATAAACGTTAAGCCTCCCACTTCTAGCACTCTGTCTCATCAGCCTGTATCAGGCAGGCTTTTGCGGCTGGGACAAAACACCTGACATACGCAGCGCAAAGGAAAGAAAGGTTTATTTTTGCCCAATCTTTCTGTCCGCCATCAGCTGGCTCCAGGTAGATGAGGCATAGTGGAAGGAGAGCTGCTCACCTCACCTCCAGACACTGGGAAGCCCAGACAGGAGAGGCTGCCAGGGAGAAGTTACACCCTGGGAACCCGTTCCCACCAGCCAGGCCCGGCCTCCTATAGCTGTCATTATTTAATCATCTTCTGAAGCCCCACCTGTGAAGACATGAGACATTCCGATGGCATTTCAGATCTGACCCTAACACAGCCTACGTGGCCTGAGAAATGACCCTCAAGCCCTGAAGAATGCATTTGAATTATTGCTAAACCTCCTTTCACCGGAATACGCTTGCTCTCTCTTTTCTATTCATATTTTTATCTTCATCATTGTTTTGTCTCCCATCCCACCGTACCCGTGACAAGCTCCTACCCCTCAGTCCCATAGGCTCCCCACGGCGTCACCTGGAAGAATTCCTCACTTGGGCGCTGTCAGGAAGGCCGGGTCCCAAACCCACCAGTGTGCTCCCTTCTACCCGCTCGTCCGCTTCCTGTGGGGAGCCAGGGCCGTGCACCTTTGTAGTCAAAGCCTCTATGAAACTGTAGCCACACGTCTTTATTTATTAAGTACAAATCTCAATTTTCAAGGAAAGCTTTTAGTCTCTTTGGAGTGTATTTTAATTAAAGATATAAAGAAGGAATCTAACTTTCCTTTTCCCTATAGGGTGAGTCAATTTCTTTAATGCTACTTTAGTAAATAAAGGATTTATTTTCCTTTTCTTTTAATTTTTCTTTTCTCTTTGTACCTTTCACCTACCCTTCCCACTTCTCCTATACCTTTAGACCTTTTCTTCCTATTACATGATATCGACTATACATTTTGATCCTTATTTACATTTTTAGTTTATCACAACAGAGAAATTATTTAGTATTTACACGTGTCCTACTAATTTCACTTAAAAGTATGTCCTCAGTGTGCATCCATTTACCTAAAATGTACCAATAAAGAAAAAATATATAAAGGATTATTTTGCCAGTAATGTGTGATGTCACGTAACCCATCTTCAGATTTTTTAATCTTTATTAAATTTATTGGTACATTTTAAGTATACAATACAGCTGCATTAATCATTGGGATCTTGTACCTTCACATGACTTATCTTGGTTCTTATTTTTCCCCATTCCCAGCCCTCCCTTCACCCCCTCCACCTTTCCCTGTTTACAAACACATTGTTTCTATGTTTTTCCTTTTCACAGATTTTTTTCTTTTCCCTTTGCCCTTTCCCTTACCCCTCCCCCTTCCCCTACTCCTTTAGACCTTTTCTTCCTATTACACTATATCAATTATACATTTTGATCCTCATTTACACATTTAGTTCTTCACACAGGAGAAACTATTCAGTATTTGCACATGTGTGACTTATTAATTTCATTTAACAATACGGCCTCAATGTACATCCACTTACTATAAATATTTCTAGCTTCTCATTCTCTATGGCTGAGTAATACTCCATTTTATAAAACAAACAATACATCTTTATCCAGTCTCCTGTTGATGGGCAAACTTTTCCTCCTTCAGTTTGGGGTATTGGTTATTTTATCTTGGAAATGTTTAGTGTAACTAACATAGCATACAAAGAAAACTCATCAATAGCAACCATTTTGCCACCTTGGTAATGTAATGTCAATAAAATCAGCTGTAGTGCACAAAATGACTATTAATGTATTACCAGAGCCATTTTCATACCCCCTCCAGCCCTTGAGAAGGAACCCACAGTTACAGCGTAAACATCACCGTAAGCCATGCATTCATCCGTAACTGATATGTAATAAACACGATGGGTGTGTTACTACCGATGGTCAGAATAAACACATTCTATTGGTCTCTTCTTTCATGTCATCTCTGTGGATTTTTGTTTCCCTGTTTATTTATATTGAACCAGAGCTGTGCAGTACTTCTTTGTAATTCATAATTTCTCACCTTTATTTTCCTTTTCAAACTGCTAGTTCTTCCACTTATATTCTAGAACAAACTTATCAAATCCTTTATGACCTATTGGGATTTGGAAAGAAATTGTATTGAATTTAGATGTTGATTGGGGAGCAGTTTTTATTTTTGTAATAGCATATAAATTTATACTTAAAAATCACATTTCTATGCTCTCCTTTGATCCTTTCATGTATTTAATATTTTTTCTACTTAGATCTTGGGATTCATTAATCCTTACACACTGTACACAATTTTTTACTATTTTACACAATGTTTGATATCATATTTTCTGGCCCCTAATTGGTAAAACTGAAAAAGAGGCAAACTTTTGTGGTTTGTATGCCAAACGTATGTCAGGCAAAGCTCCCAAAGACACTTAGAGCTTCTAAAAATAGTTTTACTTTTATTATCTCAAGTTTTCTACACAAATATTTATGTCATCTTTAAACAATAGCCTGTTTTCCTTAGTTCTTTTCATTCTCATTAATTCTGTTTTTCTTAGTACTTAGCTAAAATTTCCAAGCTTAAAACTTGAGCTTCATTAAGCCACAACAAAAATTCTTTGAATGAAAATATGTACAAATGCCCTCCTTTAAATATAGTTTTGATTGGAAATTTGAGCTAGAGGACCTCTGGCCAGATTTCCCATCCCAGACTGCAATGGCAGCCTGGAAGGGTTCTCAAAATCAGGTGAGCAGACTGAATTGGCAACGGCCACTTGTGCAAAGGACAGTGGCTTGGGGGAACAGGAAGAGGCTCAGTTCCCATACAGTTCCTACTGACACCCTGGTGCTTTCTTCTCCTCACCCCATAGTAAGCCTTGGTAGCAGAGCTAGACAAATAAGTTTATACACCTGATAGTAAGGCAGACAGTTATTCTGGACTCCAGTAAGTCCAGCAAAGGCGAAGCACCTGGAGTCTCTTGCTCAGCAGTGTAACAGCAGAATCAACAGTCACACAGTGTATTTTCCTGAGGCAAGTAATCCTGTGAGCTTCAAAGAACAGCAAAATAAACCCATTGTTGAACTATAAATGTACAAAGGACGGCGATCCTCAAAAGCCTGTGAAGGTGTGGGGAATAAAGAATATTATGGAACACACCTAGAATCTCAGCCACTCAGAAATTGGAGGCACGAGGGGTGCAAATTTGAGCTAAGCCTGGGCAATTTAGTTACTTAACAAGCCTCCATTTCAAAATTTTAAAGGACTGGGGATATAAGTAGGTGGAAAGACCCTGTGATTGGTTCTATTACCACCAAAACTATGCTTTCTTTTTTGCAAACAGCACAGATAGGAGAAAGAGTTGATGCACTTGAAGAAACCCTTGTGAGAATAAATAAGAATGAAACAGAACCTATTATCTACAGGTAGTGACCAAAAGGGACCTAGGTTTGCCCAACCAGTGCCCAGGAAGGCGGCAGTGGGGTGGGGACCAGAACACCTCCCTGCCCCTCCCTAAGGCAGCTGCCAGAGATGCAGCTCTAGTGAGATTTCAGTTTTAGCGTTTGGCTGAATTCAAGTACAGACACAAATAGCACTGGTTAATAGAAGGAACACTGAAGAATCAGTATTAGTCTCAGTTCCCCAGAGAGACAGAAACCCCATGGCCACCTGTGGGGATGGGCAGAGGTGCATTTTAAAGGGACAGCATGTGCGATCGTGTGGCGTGATGCTTCTGCAACTTCAGAGCAGACTAGTAGGTTGGAAATTCTGGCAGGATTTGTCGTAACCACCTGGAGTCAAAGGTGACATAGATACAGAATTCCTTTTTTCTCAGAGACTCCAATTTTGACTTTTAAAACCTCTGACTGAGTCACGGAGAATGATTGGGTGAGCCCAGAGTCTGCTGAGACCCAGGCTACTCGCACCTGAAAAGCACCCTGACGAGCTGTAAGCCACTACGTACCCATCCCACTCAGCAACAGATGTTCACCTAGACGGGTAATATCCAGACCCTCATGCTGCATAAAGCCGTGGAATTTTAAATAACATGAAATCTGGGCCTAGCTGCTGAAGCCTCATGTTTTAAAGTTTCCAAATTAGAATCATAAACCTGAAAATTAATGCCATTCAACCGAAGAGCACAGTGTTAGTGCCACACGAGCAAAAGGGTGTAAAGTCAGGATAAAAGATATTTAAAACACAAACATTTCAAAAAACTATAAAACAGCCTTTACTTTAAATTTTTATTATTACTAGGCCATGTTTGCAGTACACAGTGATGACGTTTACCCTGGGGAGTTGGTACACATACGCATCTTTCCCACCCCCTCCCTCCATCTCTTGGTCCCCTTCCTATTTGCAAAAGATCTAGCTCCCTTTCCCTATCATCTACCTTTGAATGTACTCCTTACTTATATTTTGCTTTGCCATATAAGAGAAACCCTGGGACATTTGAGCTCGTGTGCCCGATGTATTTCACCTACCATTACAGCCCCAAGGTGGGGAAAGGCAAACTGAAGGCTCAGTGAGATGCCTTTCCCATCGGAGAGGCACTGCCATGTGTGGTGACAAAGGACTGGAAGCTCTGTCCTCCCTCACTGCTGGTGGCGGTGTGGAATCGGGGCAGACTGAGAAGAAAAGTCTGGCCGTTTCTTCAAAAAGTAAGCACACGTTTACCGTATAACCCAGGAAATCTCCAGAGGAGATGAACACATATATCCACACAGACTCCGGACTCTGAATAGATTTTTTACTGTTACTCTTTCAAGCACAGTCTCCCCTCTCTCCGCATCAATCTTGCTTTTTATTTCCAGGTGTTAGAATCTCATAGTGTGCATTTGTTCGAAAACTGGCCTTATGTCCTCTTTCCCTTTGGATCATTGTGATCTCAGTATCAACCACACAGGTTTGACTTTTTAAAATCCTGTGCATCTCAGCCTCTTTCTATGCTGAATTAGTCCTATGTGAACATCATAACTTGCATTCTTAAAAATCAGATATATTTCACTTAAAATGTGCCATGAATTACTCTTTCTTATCTTCTCCTATCAATTCTTATAGGCCTCCCAGTTCAGCAAAGACAAGACATTGGTAGATTATTTAAAATCCCCAAATGCCTTCCAAATGTGGGAACATGAGATGGCTCTCAGTTGAATTCCACATTCCCCAGGTTCACTTTTGAGACCTTTTATTTTGTTGGTCTGATTTTTCCTTGAGCCCACCCACGGCTCAGTATTTATCATAGTTTGCAGGCAAAGTCACTCTGGGTCTGTAGTTGGAACCCAATGACAAATTGATCACTGGCTTTTAGAAGTGACATTTTGGTTGAAAGTCACTTCAGCAAAGTAAAACAGCTTTGTGAAAGTGTGTATTCGGTGAGATTCCAGAAGGAGCCCAAGCCAGCTGTCCTGGAGTCTCCTGTCACTGGCGGGATGACTCATTCCAGCCTGGCTGGGAGCCAAGTGTCTCTTCATCCCCAGAGGCCACACTTTAGTTACAGATTCTTTCCTGGGTGAGAAGCAAGCCACATAACCAAATCCAAGATTTCAGCTTGAGATTCAGATAATTCCTGGGGTGGGGGGATTAAATGTGTAGAAAAAAATTCTCTCTTTTGATCTGTTGTTTTTCCTGTGAGACGTGAGAATAAGCACCAGAGAGTGTAAAAAGCACAAACACACCACGGGGGCCACCAGGGCATTCACATCAGCCTGAGAGGCAAGCATTCGCACTAAAGAAGCAAGCCATATTCCAGAGCAAGGAGCTTCAAAAACAGATCCTCTGGAGAAGAGCTTAAGGTAGTTGAAACATGCTTAGGAATGCTTCTAGAAGCCTTAGCTTTAGCTTTAACTACTTTGCGAGTTGCTGCAGTGTCCTTAGTAGATGTTTTACGGAATTCGAGTGCACAAGTCGTTTTATGTAGTGCGTCTCTGATACCAACTCTAGGAAATGCTCAAGTCAACAAGAGCAACCACTTTCCAGCAAGATCAGAGTAAACGTAAATTTGTCAAGTAGATAGGATGAAAGAAACCCAAACTTTGGAGAAAAGGAGAAATCCAGAGTGGAATTGATGACTAGGAAATGTAGAAAGCGATGGAGAAGGAGAAACGGAGAGAGAAAGGAGGAGGCGGTGGGAACAAGACGCAGTTTTCCATGAGGCTGCTTTTCGAGCGCCCCAGCCAGTTTCCGGTGCCTTCAGAAGTTTATTTATTGTCTGACCAAACTCTGTCTGCAGCTCTTGAATGGCTCTCTAGTCCTCTAACCTTTTAAGGATTTTGTGACTAGAACAACCAGAGAAGCTAGAGGAAGAAAACTGTTCTCTGCATTATAACATGGTGACCAGAAGTACAGCTGTCTGGGACCACACTGGGCAGTACCTGGCTCACAGGTCAGAAATTCAGCTCCTCTGTCCCCTCTGTGCCTTGGGAAGGGTCCTGCCTCACCTCCCGGGCCAGGGTTACCCTCAATGTCGCACCACCCCAAGGACCACCAATGGCACTGAAAAGAATCCAGAAAGAGACTCCCTATCAAAAAAGAGGGATGGCTTTTCTCTAGCGCATTTATTTTTAATGTTGAACAAGCTGACAGCAGTGATTACTCAAAGACAAATGGCTGGCTTACTGGTTACTCCAACCCAAACAAATCGTCACCACACTGTCAGGTTCTCGACAGCATCCTTTCCGCTAAAATGCTTAATGCATTTCCCGCATCTGCATGCAATCCTTCATCTACCCCCAAAACCATTGTTTGCTGAGTTTCTATTAAGAGGTAGGAGGAAAAACTGGCTTCAAGGGGAGGAAAATGAACGAACAAAATCAGGGAGACTGTGCTGCCACATAACCAGGCTACATTGGCTTTTGTGCCATAATCGGATAATTGATTTCTTCTGACCCCCTGAGACTCCAGCAACATTGTCCACAGCAATGCTCATGTCCTCAGTATTGAGTGTTCAGAAAAAGGAAATCCGACTGTAGTCCAAGTCTGGGAATATCAGGCACATGATGCAGGCCCTCTGGAAAGACCGCATTCTTTAGAGTATTGGCTGACACACAAACCTAGCTCAACTTTCAGTTGTTTATGGCAGGCCTTCCTTTCAAATCTGGGCTGGGTCTCTGAGGCAAAGGGGAACACAGCCTGGGGTGGTCTCCGGAGTCACGATAGCCTGCAAGGATAGGTGCACCTTGTCGCTTCTGACCAGGAAATGAGAATTTATCTTGTTAGGCTTCCCAGGCTCAAGACCTCCATCTCCCCGGCCCCCTGAGAGTCCGGCCAGAGTCACCAAGCCCCTCCGCATGGCCTGCTGCCTTCTGCCTGGACAGCTGTCACTGTATGCTTGGACTGTCACACGGTGGAGGGCCTACCAGAGGAGTTGCCTCAACTGGCCCATTATGAAGGCCAGCTGTGACCAGCATACTAAACTAGGTGGACCTACACGGGCTGGGTTCCCCCTGCACCTCCAACCTGCCCCTCTGATTAATGCATAGAATCAGCAATTACAAAAGCCTTCAACTGTGGAACTTCGGTGCCCTCCAAGGAAACTTTGTCTTCACTCACTGGTAACGAAGAGTAAACACGAGGCTGAGATAAACTGCAGCCCCACAAGAATCAAGCTCCCTCAGAGCTCTGCAATCCTTCGCCACAATTCTGAGAAGACAGCCAGCCTAAGGGGCCTGACCGCCTGGGGTAACTAATAACTCTGCACTTTTGACTCCGTGGAAGGCAACCTTTGTGTTTGTCCAAGTATCAGGAGAAGATAAGAATTAACGGACAGCTTAAAAGGCATCAAGTAAACACATGTCCTCAAACACACCTACCCTGTCTACCTCTGACATCCTCAGAATGACAGGTGTCATGCTGACAGAGGCTACAGGTGACGTGGCTTGCATTTCAGAACACGTCCTGCCGTCAGCCACCGGAGTCTGTTATATTATTTCACTGCATTATGCCGGTACCTCTGGGGAGAAAAATGTAAAATGTTAACCAAGGCTTGGGTCCAGGTGGGTGAGCTTTATCTTTCATTTGGCATTCAATTAGGGGTCGGGGGCAGAATTTCATCTCACAGTTAAAGCCAGACGCCTCACAGTTGTGGCTTTCTGTCGCTTATTCAGTCCTGCTACAACTTGGGTCAGGTGTCTTTCTGATTTCACAGGCAAGAGTTTAAGGACACTTCATCCCTGTCGTCCATGACCTACTCCACAGCAACCACAGGACCTTGATGATGGCAAAATTAATTAAGACTGCAAAGAGATGTCCTTTTAGACATACAGTTAATTTCCCTTGGAAAAGTATGTAGTCTCACATAAATTATCTCAGACATCTAGCTTCCTGTATTGCATGTCATACTAGGTATTACATGTTATCTTAATGATAAAGCTCTCTGCAAAATATGTAAGAAAGAAATGGATGAAGGGATTTCTTTTGGTGGGGGGTATTGGGGATCGAAATCAGGACCTTGATCTTGTGAGGCAAGTGGGGGCACCACTGAGTTAAATCCCAAGGCCCAGGATGGAGGGGTTTTTATTAAAAATATCTATAAATAGTGCCCTCAAATCTATGCAAAGAAAATAGTCACAACAAATGGAAAAGTGAGTAAAATAAATGAACAACATATACACAGAGAAGAAATTTGGGGCCCAATAAACACATCAAAAGGTGCTTAATGTTACTGATAATCAGGTAAAATGGACTAAACACTTATTAAATTTTATTTTCATCCAATAGATTATATGCTTTTTAAAGCACTATGAAAATGTGGGAAACTAATTCTGGTGGGGGTGTAAGTTATTAAAATGTTTATTGAATGCTAATTGGCCGTAACGACCAAATATTTAAAATTCCTTTTATCTACTACTTTTACTTCTGAGAAGAATTTTAAATGCCACTGCTAACAAGTTAAAGTTTTATTCACTGTCACATTTGGCGCAATAGCAAAGAGTTTGCAGTACCCATCTCCAGAGTATGGCCGTGTCTGGCTGTTCCCCAAAGCCTCATGTGGTCTGAGGTGGGGCTTTTTCAGAGGTGTCTGGATCTGGAGTGGTGATTCGTGGTGCAATGCTAGGCTCAAGGGCACTAGGATTGAAGGTGCAAGCACAAGTTTCCCAGAAAGAATATTTAATATGATCACATTGACGATGTGAAATATATTTTTGGGTGTGTGTTCCTATGCGTGTGCATGTAAATACATGAAAGAAGGCAGAAATAAGTGTAGCGAGGGGTGTGCCACAAAGAATACATCCACCGTTTACTCAAAGTACATGTGCGATGGGCCGGGGATTCGGCTCAGTGACGCCGCCACCTGCCTTGCAAGCACACAGTCCTAAGTTCACTCCCCGTACCAGAAAAAAGAAAATGTGTGTTGATGAATATGGAAGAATTACTTATGTAATAAAGACAGAGGAAGGGAGTGGAAGAGAAGAGAACATGGCTTGGTTAATGACAGTGGCAGCATACCAGGAACAAAGATGTGCGAGGTCTGCGCACCCATGACTGATGCAGCATCACTGCGCCTGCAAACGAGGACTAAGAGAACATAAAAACTGAAAAAGGTGGGAGACTCCAAATAAGCCCAATAACGTTGGATCGCACAAGAGGCGTGGTGTGGGCTTTAGTCTGTGGAAAAGAATGAGTGCAAGAGGGAAGCCGTGTAATGTTTTCTCTTTTCTCTTTCACCCTTTTCTTTATCTTCATCCCTTTGTGTTGCCTTCCCTCTGCTTTGATCCCCTTGTTTCCAGAGCAAGTGGGCACAGTGTGTCTGGTATTAGGCATACATATTAAAGAATAATTACACATGAGCGCTGCGTTTATGCTGCTTATAAATAACATGGAAAAGGAAGTTTTGTTCTTTAAAAAGAAAAACTACAATTAGCTGGCATCACGCATTGTAGCATTGAGCCAAGGGTGTTTCTGTAATAGAAACTGCCCTGGAAGACCCTGTGAGGACAGAATGATGAGTGAACGCAGCCCTCAGCACAGGGGTACCAGTTCTCCAGGGTTGCCCTCACAATGTGGCATGTACTCTGTGGCTTAAAACCAAGGAAATCTATTCTCCCACAGTTCAAGGGATCAGCAGGGCTGTGCCTTCTCCTCAGACACAGAGGATGATCCAGCCCCCGTCCTGCCCTCCTTCTGGACCATTTTTCACTCTTCTGCCTGTGCACCACCATCTTCACATGTCCTCCTCCTCAGTGTGCATCTCCTTTTCTGTCACTTTGGTAGATCTAAGACTGCACCTAGACAACCAAGGACTTGACTCAAGTCTGCAAAGAGTCTTTCTCCAAATGGGATCACAACCACACGATTTGGGGCATAGGGCATAGATACACACTGTGGAGGCCACTGTGCAACCCGTTGCAGTTGGACAGGGTGAATGCCAGCCCTTCTCCTAGTTGGAATGGAGATGAAAAGCCACAGAAAAATATAAGAAGATGCCCCTGAGAAGTGTGTGTGTGTGCATGGGTGCTGAGATTGAACTGCAGAGAGAGAACCCTGCAAGGCCACCTGTGGGCAGAAGGGAGAAGCAGGAGGCCCACCCAAGACCATTGCTGCCTGAGGAGAGGCACACAGGGATGGTGATGTGGTGAAGACTGCAGTAAGATGTGAGATGTCATTTTGACAGGTGCCCTCTTAATACTTACTGACAGAGAGCAAGAAAATGATCAGAACTGACCCTGAGGCCCATGGCCCGAGCCTGGGTCAGAGAACCCCAGTAAACAGAGGATTTGGGGTAAATGCAGTAAAGGAAATCAAAAGCCCTCTTTGGGCATAAAATATGAAGGACCAGCAAACCAGCGAAGTGGAGACAACCGAAATTGCAACAAACATAAATGGTGACAATAAATAGTCAAATTCTTGAAGATGTGTTTTTTAAAACCTTCAAATGATTTGTGAAGATGAAACACATTAACAGATAACCCATAAAAGTAAAAATACAAGAGATGGAGAACGTAAAGTCATATTCAACTCACTCTTAAAAAAAGAACCACAAACTAAAATTATATTAAGTGTTCTATTAATACATCAACAAAGACATAACACACACAGTGTTACGTGGAACATGGCAGGAATCCCGGACACCTTTAGGCCCTTCACGTCCTGTGTCTGGACATTTTTCTGAAGGCAAATTGACCTTGTGACTCCACTTTTTCCAATCTCTCAAGCAAATGCTCAGAAATGTAGTCAAGATTTTCTCAGCAGTGCCATTGACCTCAGCATTATGAAGAGTCAGAAATACATTCAAACTAACTAACATCAGAGTCTCAGTTATATAAGTTTTGAAATATAATGCACTGGAATATCTGCAGAATTAACCTACACTGAATAGAGATTTAAATGACCTGCCTGGGAACCTTTTATAAATTTTAGCAAAACAAAATGATACCTAAAATTTCATATATGGAAAAAAACACATTTTTTCAAAAGTAAATTTGGCAAAAGATGGAGGAAATGTCTCATTATGGTGAAAATGGTCACCCCATTTGGGGGGCACTTTAACAGTTTTCTTCAATGAAAGGTGACAGATAAAAATGGAGGAATTAAGGGTTTCTACCTCCTTTAACAATTGTGTATGACTTCTTACAAACAAAGTGGCCTGGACTGGGCTGTGCGCTGGTGTGACTCTTTCAGGTTGTTTTCCCCTCTCAGATTTCTCTGGCTTGAAGACACTTCGAGTACCTGGCCTCCAAGACTGCACAAGGCCACGAAGCCCAGCCCTCCTTCACCATCCCTCCTTCCAGATCCTTCTATGTAACCTGCAATTCTCCCTTTGATGTAAAAGAGGAAAATAAATAAATGTACATCATAATCGACTGAAACAGCAAACTACAAAACTGAAGAAACATCCCCAGTTTAGATATTGTCATCGAGGACTAAAGAACGTCCTCTGACACGGAAACCCTCTGAGTCACTCTGCCTGTGGACAACTTTGAGACAGGGCTGCACCAAGGCTGTGGTCAGGGAGGAATTGTCAGAGGGAAATGAGCAGGTCTGCCTCCTTCCAATGCCAACTCTTAATGATTTGGGACAGTCCGAGCTCCCACAGTGAGGTTATTGTACAAGTGTGAAGGCTGGTTAGGATGTACACACTGCAGTTACATTTACAGCTCCTGGGCCAGATATGTAGCTCAAGGGTAGAGCACTGGCCTGACATGCTCAGGGTCCCAGGTTCAATCCCCAGGACCGGGGGGAGAAAAAAAAAAGAGAATTACAGTTCCTTCCACGCAGACTTCCAAATCCTCAACTCCATCTATAACTGAAAGGTAAAGCAATGGAAGAGTAACGGGAAACAATGAGGTCAAAATAGTGACAAAATCCAAAGAGAAAAGGCAGAACATTTTTTAAAGACCACAATTTTCCCATTTCCACCATGGAGAGTCCGTTTCCCTGGGTCTGCACCCCACTTCATGGGCCTCTTCTCGCTGGAGTAAGGAAGCAGAGAACACCCACTGCAGATGAGGGGATGAGAGCTCCCGTGGACATGAAAGCCTCCTTTATTGGAAGAAATAAAAAGAAAATGACCCAAAATCACAACCCCAGAATTATAACCTTGTTCAGAAGCTATAAAGCAGGGCCAGTTATCTGTGAAATTCACACATACTTAAAAATTCAGTAATGATCGTGTTGCGAATACTAAACTTAGCAAAATGATCAGACTTATGTATAATGAATACTTTTTTCTATAAAAGGCAAAAATAAATGGCACTCTTTTGCAGTAGATTAGGGATTTATTCCTACCAGGATTTCTCAGAATATTCATGATTTAAAACAGCTTTTTCTGCCACCAGGATATATCCCTATTTTCACATAAAAATATGGATGTATGGTTGCTATGGCACTAAAAATTGAAGATCCTTTTATCTGAGAGCACAAAGTATTCCCAGGAAGGAAGAGGGAACCTTCTGATCAGCTTCACTCTCATATAAAAGAGACAGGGGGAGGAAGATGAAATGTTCATCTTGGTCATTTGCCAAGAGCAAGAAAAAGAAAGTAGACCTGGATGTTTCTGCTGGCCACCCATGTTTCCTCCACCGAGTGAACCCTCATGTGGAAAGGGAAGTTGCAACCATACAGTGAGACATTGATATGGGGTTGTGGAATTGATATTCCTTGCAGTGAGCATAAAAATGATCCAAAATGTGCTTGGGAGTTGTGTGTGCCACTGCTGTCCCTGCAGGGCTCGGCCCCAGGTACCATCTCCAGCCCCAGAGGAGTCAGAT